AACATCATCAGCTCCCCTCTCAATCAGCAGGTCAACATCATCAGTTCCCCTCTCCATCAGCAGGCCAACATCCTCAGCTCCCCTCTCCATCATCAGCTCCCCTCTCCATCATCAGCTCCCCTCTCCATCAGCAGGCCAACATCCTCAGCTCTCCTCTCTATCAGCAGGCCAACATCCTCAGCTCCCCTCTCCATCATCAGCTCCCCTCTCCATCAGCAGGCCAACATCCTCAGCTCTCCTCTCTATCAGCAGGCCAACATCCTCAGCTCCGCTCTCCATCAGCAGGCCAACATGCACATTGCGGTACCGTGCGTTCCAGTGCAGGCGATCACACCGTGGGTGGAAGGTGCATTTGGGGTGCTATTGAAATGAATGGCACTGCAACGCACCTCGCAGAAGAATTTGTCAGACTTTTTCCCCACCTTTTATCATAAAAAATAATAATATAAATATGTATTGTAAGCACATGGAGCTTGAATAGCTTCAGCCAAGAGATGACCGCTGCTAGTGGCAAGATTCCGCAGACAGCAGCTGAATGTAAATACAGCAGGTAGTGGGCGGGTGCAATAGCCAGCCTGCTATTGGCCATTTCAAATTGCAATAGCAGACTGCCTATTGCACCCGTTGGTGTGCCCTCCTCCCAGCGTGCAGGAGAGAGCTAGGGGATGCAACCAACTAATCGATAATGAGAATAGTTGACAACTATTCTCATCATCGATTAGATGGTTGCAGCACTAATAGCAATGCATCAAAACACATGTAACATGTTCTCTGATGCACTGGCAACAGGTATTAAAATGCCTTGGTCAATGGCTGTTAACTCTATCCAAATACTAATTTAAAAACAGCAGGTGTGTGGATTTTTTTTTTTAAACTACTTGTCCACGGACTAAAGCTGCCAACACACATTACAATTATCTGCAGATTTTCTGTGGTCAGATGGAAAAGGTGAAACAGATTCCTCCATCTACACTTAACTGTGTGGATGGAGTAATCTCCACCTGGGCCAATCTGTTGCACTTTTTCCATCTGACCACAGAAAATCTGCAGATAATTGTAAGGTGTGTGGGCACCTTAAAGCGGGGACCCAATCTACTTGTCCCTCATGACAATCTACTTGTCCTGATACAAAAAATCATTTTAACCAAAACTTCTCTTTGGCGATCGCGCCGATCAATAGGTAATCGCATTTGTGAGCGAAAATTCAAAATCCATAGCGCAGGGCTGTGCTGGGTAGCAGTGTGGGGTACGGATAGTGCACCCATACCGGCAGAGGGGAAAGACCATTCGGCGAACGGTAAATATAGCAGGGAGGGGTGGGGGCCATATTGGAGCAGGTCATTCCATTTTCCCAAATTACTTGGGAAAGTGAACTTACCCTTTAATGCACATTCTGCATGTTAGAGAGCGCTGCTGCCCGACTATATGACACAGAGGAATGGGGTCAGCACACACACAAACACAATGCCCTATGCAGTGGTGCCACAAGGGTGGTGCGGGCCCACACTAGATGACACCTTCCGAGGGGGTGACACCAAAATCATTTTGGTGTCACCCCCTCTGAAAAGTCAGGCACTGGGTCATGGACTGAGAGCCCGACAGCTGCACAAGAGAGGAGGGGACCCGGCGGCACACCTTATTCCGCTGGATGAACGTTCCCGCCTCTCCTTGCCATCACCAAGATGGCCGCCGGCAGTGAAGTGCTTGTGATGTCATATAAGACCCCAGATGTCTCCATAATTAGACTAGATGTCCCTCTATTAGAATCCAATACAGATTGAGCACAGTACTGTGCTCCATCTCCTGTGCAGCCCGGCTTGTAACAGCTGAGACAGAAAATGCTGTGAGTAAAGCGCTCCTGTCTCACTGATCACACAGAGCAGATCGGAGAACGGATGTTCTCCAGTCTGCTCCCCGCTTTTCATCCTGAGGTAATTTACCGTGGTCCCAGGTACCCCAGAAGAGCGGGGGACCCCAAAACCATGGTGGGGCAGGGGACAAGTAGGTGGGCAGGGGACAAGTAGGCTGGGCTAAAAAAAAAAAAAACTACCTGCCCGGCGCCCGGAATTGCATGTTCCTGGTCGTCAGGCGATAGGAATCACGCATCTCAGGTTAAACCTCGTTGGATATAGTAATGCATGTCAATGCAAAAAGTAAATGCACCCTTCCGGATGACAACCCATATCTAAATGGGCTCTGAGGCTTTAGGCCTGGTTCAGACCTGGGTGTTTTACAGCGCGTTCCTACGCTCTGTGAAAAACTCTCAATGTGAAAACCACCAATGATTGCCTATGGGCATGGTTCCCACCTGGGCGTTAAACAGCGCGTAGGAATGCGCCCAAAGAAGTACAGGAGCTTCTTTGGGGCGTATTTGCCGCGCATATCCATTGGGATACAGCCAGGTAGCCCTCGGAAACGCGCGTTTGTCACGTGTTTTTACCGCAAATCGCGGTAAAAACGCGCCACAAACACGCATATTTGATACGCCTAGGTGTGAACCTAGCCTTATATCCTATTCCCACAATTTCCTTCATAGCAGAAATCAGCCACTTAGGCTCTAATGCACTGCCCAGTGCCAATCTAGTAAGATTTCAGGCACTGGGGGCTAGAGGGGAGAAGGTCTTCAGGCAGCTTACAGGAGGGGAGAGCACGAAGGACCTCCACAGTGTGATGATTACTTCTCAAAGTCCAATGAGCAGAAAACGTGATGCAGAAAACTGGAATGCTACAGCAGGAAATACTGGTGTCACATGGCTGTGTGTGAATCACGAGTGGCTGGACAATATTGCTAATAATCTGGCAAGTACAATTGTTCATATTGATGTGTTGTCACGCTATTTGTAGCAGGGAAACCATTCATATAAAGTTCTGTAACGTGGTTTGTAGCCATCTACCCGGAGTAACACTCTATAGAGTAGAAAGACAAGCGCCTTCCTTGACAACCGCAGAAAAAGGAACTGGGCAAAACTTGATAAAGAAAGCCTGCCATGGCTTGTCAGAGGAAGATGGTCGCTTCCATTGCTGACCCATTCTTCAGAAAATGCTAGTTGCCTGGCCGCCACACTGGCCCCCTTTGCTTTAATACTCTGACATTTGTGATTTACAAAGTCCAAAGGGTTCCGCATGACAGCCAGGCAAACGCATTTTCTGCTGGCGCTCAGCAATGTTCATCCCAATATTTTCTGCATGACAGAATCGACTGGCTTTTGCTCCATACAAGTCTATGGGAATATAAAAGCAGCTGAAGCAGTTCAACTGCACCACCTTCAGACCCCATTCACACTGAGCGACATGAGGAATCGTGCGTTTGCGTGATTTCGTGCTGAGAGGCATTGAGCTACATTGAGCGACAGTGCACATTTTGTCGCGCTACGTAGCGCGACTTTGGGGAGGGACTTAGTCGCTGCTACATTGGGCTGTAACCGATCAACTGCTGTGCAAAAGTGACCCTTCTGTAGCGCGATATTGCCGGTAATGGAGTCTATTGGAGCCGAATCGCGCGACATCCGTGGACAAAAGGGTCATGTACGAGCGACGCGCTACAGGCAACATTGAGATGTGAACAGCTCATTGCAATGCACTGGTCAAGCTACATAGAGCGATATCGCGCAGAAATATGCGCGATTTATTAGCGGAAAATCACGCGATAAACCGCTCAGTGTGAACGGGGTCTCAATGACTTCTGAATGATCTCAGAAGTGGCATCAAAAACATGCTTCATTTGCCCATTAACGCGGGCCCCAACTTCAAGGGCCCATTCAGATCAATGTGTTAGAGTCAAGCACAGTGAATCGCACTTTTGACCAATATGCAGCAACTTTTTATACACAGCGGGTTGCCGTTTATTTTGAATGCCGCCTGAACGCACCTAGGCAGTGCAGCACAACGCACTTACAGTGCAGAGCATTGCAACGCACAGATGGGTACAAAAAAATAATCCAATTTTCCATGTATTAAGAAGCACTGCCAGACTATTTCAAATGAATGGGCTGTCCTAATGAGTGGTAACGTGCTGCATTAATACAACGCATGGTGTGAGACATCCCAGTTTCTTGGGCTAGGACAACCTGTAGACACTCAGACTATTACAAACAACAGGGAATATTGATAAAGGCAAGCATATGACGCATGCAATTTCTGTGATGTTGGCAAAACACACACTTTTGCTAATTACTCACATCTGTTAATTAGCTCATCAAACAATAAAACACCGCTGTGCATGATAAAAGAACGCATACTATGAAAAATGTCACGCACTGTAAAGGATCTGCTACTGGTGAGCTAAAAGCCCTTGCATGTCCTAGTCTACCTCCAAACTACAACAACCTAGGCCCCGCAGAACTACAAATCCCAGCACGCCTCTGCACTTGACATGTCAGGAGGCGGACGCCTCAAGAATGAGTAGTTCTGATGATGATGCAAAGAGTTACATCATTTTTATTTTTCATCACAGTCCTCTGTCACAGGTCTCCCCGCAATCGAAACTCAATAACGGATTCTTAAGAAACAAAAGCACAAATCCAGTAAAACACTCAGAGAAACGTTCAAGGAATTTGCTCGCAAACACTTTACCATGTAAGGTGAGGTCAGCAAAGGACGCAGGATGCGTTTATTCAAGGCCGGATCACCACACATGCATAGTACTAATGCCCACAAAGAAAAAAAAACTTTCTAAGACTTTGTCATCTTGTTCCATATCTACAATCCAGGAACAAGAAACTTGAAAAGCTTCAGCCGAAAAACAGAATGCTATCTGATTGGTCGTGAAGGAGTCAAAACCAGTTTTTAAACAATCCTTCCAACGTGATCGCTTTTTATCCATCGTCTTAGTGGTTTGCCTAAGGCCACAAGAGAGAGGGGCAGCTGCTTGCTCCTAATCTGTGCTGAGGCCTACAGAAAGGGGATTACAGATTTGAAGGCTCCAGCTGGCTGTAGCCTCCCCTCCTCTACACTCCCCTCACCCCCACCGTCCCTTCTTCCCTGACACCCCCTTATCTCACCTTCCAGATAGCAGCTGGAGGAGGAGGACAGTCCCTTTTTGGATTTGCAGCCCACTAACTTTAAACAGATCTCCAACATTTTCATCTGCTGGATACAGGACTTGCTGGATCTTTTCTTCCTCCGGGAGCGCTCGATGATCTCCCCTCCCTCCAACATGCGAAAAGTCCAGAGCGGGATAGGCCACTTGGCCTCGAACCAAGTCCTGGTGGGCTTGATGTGCTGTGGTTCTGTCCTAGTCTTCTTGATGCAGGACAACTCCAAAACTCAGCAGAGACTCCGAACTTCATCGATCCGAGCAGGATTTTTGCCAGAAAAGGAGAGGCTCGGATCCCTAAGAAGAAGGGGAGGGCTTGCTAGCATCCCTTCGGAGCAGTCCCCCCATACTGACCACACAGTCTTCTCAATCACTACAAGAGGCGTGCGGAAAGTAGTCCACTCTTTCAGCAAAGTTCTTGCTCTTCGCTTGGGCTCTTTCTTTCAGTCCAATAGGCGGCTTGTGTGAGACAGGGAAGGCTGCTTACGTTAGACTGCCAACAAAGGGCCCCCTTCATCCTCCGGCTGCCTCTAGTGATGACATCTGAGGTCTAGCTACGCCTACCCGTGCACAAAGCACTGTTAACCCTCGCCTGAAAGCAGTGCAACTCCTACCCTTTTTATGTACTTAACCTTCACAAGTTCAAGCAAGGAAAGCCATAGGATTTGTCAGTCGGCTGCAGCGCGACAACATCACAGGAGGCTGGGGAGATTAATACACACAAGGAAGATTTCTCAATTGTTGTTTTTTTTTTTAACTTTTAGACAGAAACTCAGCCGCATCCCCCTGTCTTCTGTGTATTCTGCACTAAGCTGTGCACCAGACAAAACCCCAGAAGATTAACCCTAAAGTGCAACAAGCTCCAAGGGCAGGCCAACTCAATGCTTCAAGTGTATGTAAACCCAAGAACAAAAAATGTCATATATGGCAGCTCACCGGATCTAAAATGTATTACAGATAATTCCTCATTATCCGGCATTCAAGCAACTAGAAAATTGCCAGTTGCTTGATAGACATGCACACCAAAAATGTTTGTTAGCAGGCTGGCTATTGCACACGCACAATACATTTCGTAGCTAGCGGCTATGGCAATTTGAAATAGCCAATAGCAGAATCTAGCCGGTAGGGAGGCACCGATGCCAAGTATTTCGTACTCGTCCAAATGTTCCGATGCCTAGTCCGATACTTCCTGTATCAGGAAGTCGGGCAGCGCATCATTACACGCTGCCCGGCTTCCTGATTGGCCGTTAAGCCGGCTCCATGCTCCCTCGTCATGTGGTGACGAGGGAGCATGATCAGGATGCCGCATCATTACACGCTGCCCGGCTTCCAGATTGGATAGGGAGTTGGCTCCATGTTCCCTCATCACTTGTGACAAGTGAGCATGGAGCCGGCTTCCTGGTCAATCAGGAAGCCGGGCAGCGTATAATGATGCAGCACCCTGATCATGCTCCCTCGTCACCACATGACGAGGGAGCATGGAGCTGGCTTAACTGCCAATCAGGAAGCCAGGAGCTGCATCATTACACGGCACCCGGCTTCCTGATTGGCCAAAAAGCGGGCTCCATGCTTTCTCGTCACAGTGACTAGTGACGAATAGCATGGGGACGGCTTCCCTGCTAATCGGGAAGCCGGGTGGCGAGTCTTTACACGCCGCCCGGCTTCTCAGCTAATCAGCTTCCTTAACGGGATTTCCGGTATTCGGTATCGGCGAGTACCGAACAAAATACCAGTACTCGATACAGAAATACCAGTATAGGTGCATCCCTATTAGCCAGCAGATGAATGGGGCAGGAGAAGGGGGGGTTGTTGCTTGAGAGTAAAGGTGCGCATACACCTTACAATTATTGTACAAAAAACGAACGTGATTGCGTTTTCGTAAGATAATCGGCCAGTTGATGGGAAGTGCACGATCACAATTACTGTACAACTGGCCGAATTTCCTCGACCGGGCAGGCTAGAAAACTTTTGTCAACGAAGGAAAATCGATGGATTAGTGGCGTTTTCGTACAACAAAAATCTCAACAGGAACACTGCACAAACGAAAATCATGGACACAAATCGTAGAGTTACAATTGCTAACGAACGATTATTGCAAGCGGCATTGGTCTGTGCATGATGAGCTATTTGAGTGGAAATTGAACGAGGGTGGAATGACAAAGGAAATCCTACGATAATTGTAAGGTGTATGGCCACCTTTACTCTCAAGCAGCCAGAAACTACAGTTATCCGGCAATACCAATCCCCATGGGTGCTAGATAACGGAGTTTACTGTATTAGCTTTCTAATCTCAATCTTTTTTTTTCTTTATTTCCTTTTATATGATCCTGCCAACAACATACTTCCTGTCCTACAGTGGCAACACTCACTCACTGTACTGTATCTATGGAGGAGCAGTGCTGTCACCCTAGGACAGGGGTGGACATATTAATATGAAATTAAGGAGCCAGTCTGTCCATGCCAAGCTGCATTGACAGCAACTAGAGCAGCGGTAGCCAAACCCCGGCCCTCCAGCTGTGGTGGAACTACAAATCCCATGAGGCATTGCAAGATTCTCACAGCCACAGACATGACTCCCGGAGAGTGATGCATCATGGGATGGATAGTTTCACCACAGCTGGAGGGCCGGAGTTTGGCTACCCCTGAACTAGAGAAAACCTCAAAAGTTAGACAACAGCTATAATTGGCTAGCTGGTGACTGGGATTAGTCTAGCCCTGCCCTAGTACAGAAAGTGTGAGGACTATGAAATGCCTCCCCCTCTCCTCTTCATACATAGGTGGGAGATAGTATGTAGCTCTGCAGAAACAGGACAACACTGGATTTCTGGCAGAATCAACAGGAATTTGTTTGCACCTATCGATACATATATAACAAAACGTTTTTAATGGTATATTTAACAGAGTAAAAGGGACCAAAAATACAAGGGAATTGTTAAGGTTAACATACACTTAACACTAAAGTCCTAAATGCTCTGATGCTGGGTAGGTTAAAGAAGAACTCCAGGAATTTAAAAAACGTACTCACCTGATCCTCAGTCCAGCCAGGCTGCTAGACTGGCCCACGCAGCCACTTCTACCTCTGTGCTCTGGTGATCTAAGGACCGCTAACCTCATTATGTCTTATGCAGCTTCTGCGACTTGCATTAGACGTGAGGACGCTGAGGGACATTCCACAACTGGAGGTGGAGAGATGTGAGTGACAACTGCAGCAGGACAGAGGATCAAGTGAATATTCCTGCTTTATTTGAGCCCTATGGACAAATGAGCATTTAACCCTTTCAGTGCAGGGGTAGCCTTACTGCAAGGGTGTTTTTTAAAGTCCTGGAGTTCTTCTTTAAACTTAACCTGTATGGCCTCATTCATGAGATAAATCTTGACAATCCCTGCTATCCCTCCTAATGCCCCCACAACTATGGCTGTTGTGCACTGCATGTGACCTGTGGTCACATGACTTAAAGCGGATCTTTAAAATAACAACAAACACAGCTTTAGAAATGTTTAGTAATGACAATCGACAAATACTTCTAGATAATTGCAGGCTTTGTATTCTGTGCATACCTTATTTCTCTTTTCTTCCCCAATCTTCTCACGGTGGCCATGTTTACTAAGGGCAGATTACTAGCGCTCCTATTACTTCTTGGATTTCTGGCACATGTGACTAGACATGTGACTAGGACACGTGACCATGCACATCATCTCAGAGGAGGAAAATGCCTTTCCCTGAGATCTCCTTAGATTACAGATGCGATTTCCCAGCAATGCTCTGCTGATAAGACAATCCCAGTGTGCATTGCTTTGCCAAACTGAAGTAATTTTGCCCTTTCAAAGCAGGAAGTGAATGCTCTGCAAGTGTAAGTATTTCAAAATCACAGCATTCTACACCTGACATGTCTATGTTATTATTAATTATCATACCTAGAGGGATGCATTGTTAGAATTAGATTTTTGTTTTTTTTTGTATAATATTTCTTTATATGTTTGTATTGTTATATATAGAAACAATAAACATGTAAACATCTCTCCCAGCATGTCAAGACTCTCCCAGGGAGAAATCCAATCAAAAACAGAAGAGAAAGATATTGAGACCCTTCTTCCTAAAACAGCCACCATAAATTTCCCTTCCCATTGGTATCAAAACCATTCTTCCCCCCTAGGGGTCTCAACTAATCAACTAAAAAAAAAGCAAGGAAAACGACAACCCTAAATCCCTCCCAAAAAAAAACAACAACCCAGAAACAAAAGAATTTGATTTTCGAGTGTAAAGGTCCGTTTTAAAGACCGATAAAAATGTTTGATGGAAACCTCTTCCTG